CAAGGCAAAATTATACTTGTATAGCGCCTTTTATGTCAGGAGGACGTCCCAAGCTGCTGGACAGTCAGGAATTTGGACCCGAGTGGGGGAGAGGGGTTGGGGTAAGGGAGGATAGGAGGGTGACCGAAGGCACGGTCAAAGAGGAGGGTCTTAAAGAAGCAAGGAAAAGAGCGAGGCAAAGGGAATGTGGGATGGAGTTCCAAATGGTGGAGGAGGAGAGGCTGAAAGCCCGACCACCGATGGTGGGGCGGACCACAGGTGGAATTGGAGCAGGCCAGAGCCTGCTCAGCGGAGGGAGCGGTCAGGTTGATAACCTAGTCTAATCCCACTTTCCTGTTCTGTAAATGGAAACATGGGACCTGGGTTGGCCATATCTGAATCTGTTCCAATTCAGACTTTATTTTATAATGTATCTGTTTGTTCCAGTTAACACTTCTAANTTTTTTTAAATCGTGAATTATTGAAATAAAAAGGTTCAGGTGGGGCAAGAGATTATTTTGCCATTCTATCAAGTATTGGATATGTGGAACAGACTACCAACAAAGAAATTGAAACTATATACCATTACCACCTTAAGAATAACTCAGTAAGTATCTGCTCGGGTACAGAACTGGAAGATTTTGAATGGTGTCGTCTTAGACAAACAAATTCCCAGGGACACCATGTTTCTGCCCTGCTGAAGCCAGGGGTATAGAGGAGGGAAAGTTCTGTGGACAAGAGGAGTCCAAGTCTGATTGTTGTTTTACCAGCTGGGTGTCTGACACACACAGAAATCTATTGCCATGTTTAACATTATCCACACCAGACTGCAGTTACGCATAATCATGAACATTTCTGTTTGTCTGCAATGCAGTGCATATTCTCTCCCCAGAGGGACACGGATGCTTACCTGATCTTGCAAAGGGATTGGTATACGTTGGCAAAAGCCAAGGCTTGCGGTCCGGCCCCCCTGAGAGGGCAATGGGGTATTGCTGTAATTTAACCAATTGAAACCATCAGCTTGCCAATGCAAACAATGTTTGCTCATCCTGCTAGGGCTACCCTACTTATTAGGGCTTTGGCTTTCAAGAACCAAGTGGGAAGAATCCTTGTCCCCAGTAACTGGTCTGCCCTTCTAAATCTTGCCAATGAACCAGGTTGACTGCACTGTTATCATCAACGCCTTGCAGTTCTGCAGCCTCGGTACTATACTCTGCCTGGCTTCAGGAACCAGGTTTCAACTTCCCTCAAGAGAGTTGATCTATTCTGATATTCCAATAACAGGCATGTCACCTTGAAGGCATCTTAGCCCCAAGAAGATACCAATTGCCTCTTCTTTCTCCCCCCCGTTTGAACCAATTAAATCCAGATACTGTGGGTGGATGTATTGCAGATAACCTTGCGGATTGGAAAACAATTGTGAGAAACGTGGAAGGGCTGTACTGTGGATAGAGCAAATGTCCTACAGTCTGCTTGTGTTGGTGTGGTTCGTAGAAGGAACAAGTTTGAAGGGCGGAAATCCCATTGCTTAGGACTACCGCCACTATGCACCCACCCTCTGGAACTCAATCGCGCAGTCTCACCCCCTCCCTTGCCACCTTCAAGACCCACCTCAAGACCCTCCTCTTCAACCGTGCTTTCGATCTCTGCTTCCCCCCCTGCCCTCCACCCTCCCCCACCCCGACCCTCAGCTCGGGTCTGTAACTCTGTCTGTCCAGAACCTTGGGACGTCCTCCCGACGTGAAAGGCGCTATGCAAATGTAATTTTGTTGTTCTTGTTGCTCGCCCCAAGGTTTTTGTGGGCATTCAGGTCATTGCAATGATAACTGAGTAACATCTAATAATAAAGGAATAGAAATTGAATGGGTTTAATCAGTCACTACACATGTCAGCAATTACTGTAATGCGCTTTGAGACGATTTGACATTTGTAAGGACTATGAAAATTAAAGTTTGTTCATTCATTTTCCACTATTGGTTGAATCCCTGTAGCCAGGCACTGAGATTCTGGAGTAATCCTGTGCAGAAGTGGTTGAATGACAGATTATTCACACATGAACAAAACAATTTTTTAAACAATGAGTATGATATTGCATCAATTTGACAAACTGTGAAAGTCCAGATGGCAACAGATAAAATGAATAATGAAGTGCCTGTAATCTCTATTAATATTCAACAACACAAGAAAGCAAGAGAGCCCAAGCTGTCAGTTCTTACTCCATTAAACCAACTTCACTTTTGCTTTCACTATCAGTGGATAGTTCTTGTTGCTTCTCTCTTTTTCCCTCTCTTTTCTCCCCCTCCACCCTAATTTTCTCTCTGTGTCTCATGCTTGTTTTCATGTTACTACTGAACATTGTCTCTCTCTATCTTTTCTCCTCCCTTCTCTTTTTTTCTCACGCTCACTCTTTCACGTTTCTCTTTCTCAAGCTCTCTCTCTCTCTCTGCTTCTCTCTCATGCCTTCTCTCTCTCTCTCTCTCTCTCTGCCACTCTCTCCAGGTCTCTCCCATTGTCATTGTTTTTATGGTCTTTTCTCCTCACCTGACTGACTGAATGTGATAATTCAGAGTTCTGATGCTGTGTGTTGGCTATAGCTGTTTGATTGGTCTGTACGGTAGAATAATCTTGAGGATCTAAGTGTATTAAAGAGCCACATCTCTGCTGTTCGTTCCCAAAGTGATTTGATGTGCTGAATTATTCAGACTTGAACGTCTGCAGATTTTCTTTTTAGATACCTCTTAACTGAACTGCTACTGCTTATTTTGTTGACTGTCTCATTGTTTTATAACTTGTAAACTATTGAGGAAGGCAGCAGAGCATTTAAGATCTGGTTACTGTATCTGACCTGAATACTGTAATGCAGTATAAATGATGATTAGAATACTGGAAGCTCCAGCTGCTCGTCTTTAATTTATAGAAGTACTTAGAACCATAAAATTCTACAACACAGGAGGAGACCATTGGACCCATTCTATTTCAGTGAGTGAGTAGTAAATGTATGGAACAGGCTCCCTAGGGAGACGGTGGAAACAGAAAGGTTTGATTCTTTCAAAAGCAAATTAGATAGATTTCTTTTAGGAAATAATATCTTGGGATACAATATATAATTTGGGACATGACATGTGCATGCGACTTCCAGGATGATCTAGCAATCCAGTTCATTTAACAATTCTTATGTTCTTATGTATTAGTGTCAGTTCCCAATTCCTTCCAATACTATTCCTCCACACGTGTTAGTGTCTTTTAATTGTCACCGTCGACTCTGCTCCAACAGCCACTCCCAGTAGTTCATTTTGTGTTCTGATAATAATAATAATAATTCTTGCGTTTGATGCAGCCCCTTATCACCTGGGCCAATAGAAAAGTTTGTTCACGCTTTTTCTGCGGATTCCGCTACAAACAACCATCTGCTACAAATCCGCTATAAGTTAGTTTCTGGCCTGCAGGAAACACCAGGCATACAGAGGGAGAAAATAATCGAAGAGTATGGGAGAGGGAAATGGAAGGAAAAGAGGGAGAGGGGATTAGAAGGCTTTGGATGCTCATCTGGAGTATAAACACCGACACTGGTCGAATGGCCTGTTTCAGTGCTCCATAGTTTATGAAATTCTATGTGAAAGATTTTTATATTTTTATAAATAAAAAAATTGTTATAAAAATAATCCTTGTATTTGATATAGCTCCTTTCACATCTGCAGGATGTCTCAAAGTGCTTCACAGGATTTCCTATAATGTGTATTGACTGTGTATTTTGCAGGTGGACACCTACTGCTGAATGTTGTGGCGCTGATGGGAAATATCCCACATAATCAACACAGGAGGAGGCCATTCAGACAGTGTATCTGTGTTGTTACTAGAGCCATCTACTCATAACATCATCACCCTGCTCTTTCCTTATGAATCTTGTGCTGCAGTTGCTCCCCACAGGGGTGATACACTAATTAGTGCTAATCTTCCCCTATTCTCTTGAATATTATTTTTCTTCAAGTTTTGATCTAATTCCATTTTAAATGCTGTATGGACTTAGCTCATCAGTCGTTTATCATTAAGCATTCCACATTCTAGCAGCCCTATGGGTAAAACACACAACACCACTGTAAAACACACAGTCATTATGCTTTATAGTACATCCTGTTAAGCACTTTGAAATATCCTCCTGAAGTGAAAGGTGCAATATCAATTGCAAGGATTATTATTAATAGTATTAGTATTGATGTCTTCTAATCTTAGCCCTATTTGATATCCCTACGCCCATTCCAATCAGCATCTTTACTGAGTGAAAATGGTGATAGTTCCCTGCCAGGAGAATAGGCGGGGGTGGGGGGCGCGGGCAGAGAATAAACCTGACCTTCCTGAGGAACAGTGAAAGGCAATGTTAGTGGGAACAAGACTTCTGTTAGCAACAGAAGAACACTTGAAGAAATCTGAGGAAAATCTACAGTGGAGTAATACATGGGATAGGGCTTCTGAAAGGAAAGAGTCCCAGTTTTGAAGTGCAAATGACAGCAAGTCTCACAAATATCCATCACCCTTTCCAGAAACCGAAGCAGTAAATTGAGTTTGATATTGCTTGTAGGCATTGTGATGCTGGTTGGATGTCATCTGTGATCTTTATTTCAAAAGTTTTCCTTTCCCCTTTGAGTCTGTGCACTGCATGTACCTGATCATACAAGGATTTTACAGTGTGTCTGAGTATTGTTTATGTTGGGCATTGGGTAGTAAAGTTGTGGGGAGGGATGTGGAAATGGAAATCGCTAGTGGTGATCTTTTTCTTTCCTGTTTTATAACATGATTTCTTAAGATCGCTCTACTTATCAGTAAATCTGTGTCCAATTCATGGGTGTGACCATTGCTGAATTAAGCCCTCCAAGACACTTACCCGCATGAAGGGCGCTATATAAATAAATGCAAGTTTTTGTTGAATGTGTGTAGTGCTTTGGTTTGAAGTGGAAAACTGTTTATTTATGTGAATAATGATTCCTTTAATCACAATTGTATGTTCATTTTTCTCCCCTCTTTAGCCGACATTATTTCCACAGTAGAATTCAACCACACAGGAGAATTGCTAGCGACAGGGGACAAGGGCGGTCGAGTTGTAATATTTCAGAGAGAGCAGGAGGTAAGTTACACTGAAAAGCCAATATGCCTGTTTTGTTTCTATTAAGCAGCATCCTGCTGATCCATAAGCTTAATGGCTTCAGAATCTTAAAAGCTTCTTGACAAATGATTTGGAAAATGTATTCCTATGTCTGACAGGTTGCTTTTCCCACCCCCCAACCCCTTGCTTTCTGTTCTATATCTTAATATTCCTTTGAAGGTTGGCAAAGCTTTTCCAGCTGTCAAACACTCTCTGCCTTCCCCTTTACCTAATCATCCGTGCAAATTATTTTTCTTTTAAAGTTATTTTTTCAGGGCTCTTTCATACATTGCCGACCCCCTCCACACACACACACACACACACCACTACCACGATTGCTCTGCTGGTGATGGCAGCTCAGCCACACAGTTGCAGGAGGTCCCAGGTTTCATTCTGTGCTTCGCACCGACTGAATTAGCTGAGCAAAAGTAGGATGCAGTGACGGAAGACACATTCGTGTTGGCCTCAGTGTCCCTCTACTAAACAAAGACAATCCGCCAGAGTTCCTCCTCCTGATAACTATACATTAACTCCTACTGGAAAGATGTGGTATATGTATATAAATTGGATGTGAGGGTGTATTGGGTGTGGGGTTGTATTGAGTGTGGGGGTGTATTGGGTGTGGAGGTGTATTGAGTGAGGGGGTGTATTGAGTGTGGAGGTGTATTGGGTGTGGGAGTGCATTGGGTGTGGGGATATATTGAGTGTGGGGTGTATTGGCTGTGGGGTGTATTGGGCGTGGCGTATATTGGGTGCGACGTGTATTGGGTGTGGGGTGTATTGGGTAAAGCCGAGCTTGCTTTGACTAAGTAGTTGCAAACTCTCTTGTGGTCAGCCAGCTAGACTTAAGTATCAGCCTCAACATCGTTGCTGCTCTGTGAGGCAGAGGATCCCGAGACCCTTTTGGAAGTGATTAGAACCAAATGTTGTGCCTTGATTAAGTGTCATTTGAAAATTACAGGGAAAGCATTTGGCTGGAACAACAAATGCTGCCTGTTTGGTATTTGCCTTACAGCCTGCGAATGGCTTAGCTCTTTGACCTGTGATTGGCTTTCTCTGGTTTCCCAGCTGTTAACAAAGTTTGAGAATAGCCCTCGGCTGCAGTGTCCATATCAGTGAGTGCATCGCACCTAGTGACCCTTTTCGACCATCGGGGGAGAGAACTCCATGAAGACAAGTGCCCAAGACATTGAAAGTAACTCAAACATGTATTCCCTCTGGAGAGCAACCAATTCTGTGGCCCAGAAACCTTTTCTAACAACAACAACAAGATTCCATTTATAAAGCGCCTTTCACGTCAGGAGGACGTCCCAAGGCGCTGCACAGTTGGGTCAGGACCCGAGCATTGGGGAAATGGTCAGGGTGAGGGCAGGGAAGGGAGGGAGCGAGGAGGGGGAAGAGAGTCGAGAGGGGAGCTGAAGGCTCGGTCAAAGAGAAAGGTTTTGAGACCGGCCTTGAAGGAGGAGAGGGAGGAAGCGGCGAAGGCACTGGGGGATGGAGTTCCAGAGCCTCGGGGCATTCTAAGGGGCATTGTCAGGCAGTTTAGAAAGCTGATAATGAAGACAACTGTTTATCCCAGCTCATTATTCATCATGTCTGATGTTGCTTTGGGTTTAATATATTAAAACTGTACAGGCTGCATCGTAAAGATCTGGGAGCTGATATTCCACTTGCTGGGATGTTTTGCAAATATATGGTCAATTCACTTTACAGCATATTCTGTGAAGCACTTTGAGACGTCTAGAAGACGTGAAAAGCGCTATATCAAATGCAAGGATTATTAATATTATTATTATTATTCAGCTTATTGAAGGGCAATAAAATGAATACCGTGTATCAAGTATAGCCTCTTGGGAGTGCTTGTCTCTTGATGCTGAGCTGACTCTATTCTCCAGATTTATTTTTTTCACTAATTTTACCACCTAAAAATACTTCCCTAGCAGAACTTGGGGATTACAGGGGGAAGGGAAACTGTTACAACCTTACCCTGATCTTGTCCTCACCAAGCTCCTCTGTAGTGTCTTCCATTTCGGGAGGTCATCCCAAGGCGCTGGACAGTCAAGAGTTTCGGACCCGAGCTGGGCATAAATTACATTTACATGACATTTGATATATTGCCTTATCACGTCTTCGAGAAGTTTCAAAGCCCTTCACAGAATATACTGTAAAGTGAATTGACTGTATATTTTGTGGGCAAAATTGTCTAGTTCTATTGAAGCTCATAATTTGGTCAATCTCTTGATAATGGAAATGTCCCGATCTAACTTTTTTTTTACTGTTTCCCATTTTCTCACAGAGCAAAAACCAGTCTCACCGTCGAGGAGAATATAATGTTTACAGCACTTTTCAGAGCCACGAGCCAGAGTTCGACTACTTGAAGAGTCTTGAGATCGAAGAGAAGATCAATAAAATCCGGTGGTTACCCCAGCAAAATGCAGCCTACTTCCTGCTCTCAACCAATGGTATGAGATAGTAGTATTGAATTTATTGGGGTTTTCTTAATCTTCTTCAGTACAAAGTTCCATCCCACTGTAACTAAGTACACACTGCAGAATGTTTTCCCCTCCCTTACCCAGGGAAGGCTGAACTCAGTTTATTTAGTCTTCCGTTGCAGCCCAGCTGAGATCAGCAAACGTAGTACAGAGCAGGTTTCGAACCAGACTTTAAGCTATTCTACTACAGAATCGGGGCTGCCTCCATTCAAAAATCTCATTGGTCTGTACAAGAAGAAGATTCATCTTTGAGATGTTTGAACTTAATAAGTGCTAGATCAAATGGAAGGATGATTATTAAAAACAGACAAGATCCAGAATGCAGGAGAAACTCCCTTTGCTTAGTGAACATTTTCACTGGGTCTTTAACCTCCAGCTTGAGGTCAGGCAGATATGACCTCAGTTTATAGTCTTGTCCAAAGGATTGCACCTCTAAGCAGTGTTCCCCTAATACTGCCTGAAAAGGACAGAATAATATGTTTGAATACGACATAAATCAAATCGTCAGTGTCGCTCCTCAGCATGTTGGGGGAAAGTAATAATGAATCAGTAAAATATTAATATTTAATAAATATTACAATACAAGTGATTGTCTGATAATGTTTTGCCTGAGAAGTTTCATTTTCCATTAAGAAGGTGCATTTGATATCAAAGGAATGGCAATAATCAGCTCTTCTCCAGTGCAGACATTCTGTTTAATGTGCTTTCACTTCTATAGCTTCATTATAAAAATCATTTTTCACAGCATTAACAATTCATAAGGTCTCAGGGGCCAGCAGTTACACAGTGTTTGTGAGAATAAATGGATTCTTCAGAATTCACTGCTCTTTGATCAAGCCCTCGGAAAAAAAGAAATTTACCAGGCTTTTAGCTACTAGTAACTCACACCTTTTCATACAGCACAACTGGGCATTGCAATGATATATATTTGTTCCCATAACCTACAGTCAGATTGCAAAGTACAAGGTCACATTTGCTTTCATGATTGTATTTATCTTCCTTATTATTTTCAATTCTGGTAAATTCCAGAGGCTTTTATAGCTGGATCTTCTGTCTTAAGTTTTAATGCATTCAAAATAAATATAATAAGATAAACTACATCCTGGAAATCCTCCCTAACATTTAAATTAAGCAAAATAAACACCCCCTAACACTTAAAATGAATAAAAGTGAATTTTAAATAAATAAAATAAATATAAAATTGGAATTGACTACATGCGAGGTGGGATTTTGGCTCACAGAATATTAAATGCTTGTGGAATATTTTTGTGAGCAATTGGCTGCCGCGTTTCACCCACAAAATACATAGTCGATCCATTTTACAGTATATTCTGTGAAGTGCATTGAAACGTCTCAATAACATGATAAGATGTTATATCAAATGAAAGGATTATTATTGTAGATGTGCTCTCATCTCCATCCTTGTTTGAGAGTGTCTGGCATTGTAAGATCACCTAGAATAAAGGTGCTAATGCAGGTGGCTCAGAATTAGCAGCAACTTCCAGATCACTTTATTTACAAAATACAGTTACAAAACTTCACAATAAAATCCTGCAAAGCATTTTAAGACATCTCAATGATATAAGGCGGAATATCAAATTCAAGATCTATTATTATAAACAGATTTTTTTCAAATGCTCTTTTTTTGTTAGATAAAACTGTTAAACTATGGAAGATTAGTGAGCGCGACAAAAGACCAGAAGGATACAACTTGAAAGATGATGACGGAAGGCTGAAAGACCCCTCCACTATCACAACACTGAGGGTAAGTCAACTCTTGACTACTTCAACCTCAAACTCTTCCACTGACAACAAAGTAAGACCAGAAATAAACTATATTGTGGGATTGAACCGAACAGACCAGGAAAGTTTCAGTTTTGGTCCCTGGGCTATGCTGATTTAGATGACCTGAAGTGGACTGATAGCGGGCGGGGGTGTGATTGCCTCAGGTTTCCTGATGGAAATGTATCATATGGTTGTCAGGTGAGGACAAGATAGGATTGACTGTTATAATCCTCCCATATTTGCTTACCAAGGTCAGACAACGTACCAGAGAGCTAGTAAGACAAGTAGAACTATACTCCAACCTGAGTTACTGAGGAGGAAGACTACAAATAAGGAGAAAAATTAGCGGAGGAGAGATAAATGCCTGGGAGGAAACAATCCATGGAGACTCCAAAGATAAAGCATTTGGATCCATGGCTCTTTAACCTTCCATTTAAAGGTCTGAATTAAAGATGAAATTTATATAAAAAGTGCATCAATGCTCCCAGTTTCTTACCATGCTCTATGAAGGTTAACTTGCTCCTTTTTAGCTGAAGATTGTTGAATAAAGTGGGCTCCCTCTGGTTTTCTTCAATTCCATCAGAGAATTTTGAGGGATATATAATAATAAATAAAAATTCTTTCAATCTAAATTGCTAGGTTTACAAAATAATTTGTAAATTGAAAATCTTGGATTCACCATGCTGCTAATATGTTAAAATGTTATTATTGTGAATAATAATAACAATAATCCTTGCTCTTGATAAAGCAAGTGCTTAATCACGTCATCGAGACCTCCCAAGCTTCACAGGTTGTTACACAGAGAGCTGTTATGGTCTGGAATGCATTGCCTGAAAGGGTGGTGGAAACAGATTAAATAACAACTTTCAAAAGGGAATTGGATAGGTACTTGAAAAGGAAAAAATTGCAAGAATATGGGGAAAAAGCGGGAGAGTGGGACTGATTGGGTAGCTCTTCCAAAGAGCAGGTACATTCACGATGGGCTGAATGGCCTCCTGTGCTGTAATATTCTATGATTCTATGTTCCATTTTATGTTACCTGTTAGTCTTTTCTCATATGCTATCTTTTTGCCCCTCTTATTTCCTTTGTCAGTTCTCCTCTGCACTGTATGCCTTCTGCTTGATTCTCTGGTGTATTTTGAACCTAACATTTATCATAAGCCTCCTTTTTCTGATTAATTTTAATCCTAATTTTCTTAATCATCCAGGAAGCTCTAGCTTTGGATGCCCTACCTTTCTCCCTCTTGGGAATGTGTTCGGTCTGCACCCTAACCATCTCCTCCTTGAAGGCCTCTCATTGCTCGTTTACTGTTTTACCCTTTCCACCATATAACCACTCCAGACTTCCACTCCTGAATCCTGGATCTTCAGAATATCAATTGGCATTAAAAACCGTGTTTGAGCCACTGTCAGTTTAAATCTGAGCCGTACTGACCAGGGAAGATGCCAGAACCAATTTCCTTTCATGTACTCCAAACAAATGTAATTTGTTGTTGTTCCTACTCTGCTTATTCAGGCTGCTACAGTTGCCTTCAGTGCCCTGACTTGGAGATTATTGGGAAATTATTTAACCCAGGGTACCACAGAAAATTGGATTGCTCCATCTGCTGCTGGCAGGTTGAGATCAGCGGTACTTAAACTGCAACTTTCAGAGTTGTGCAAGTTGTGTCTTTATCCACTAAATCATTGGAGGAGCTACTTCAGAGTTCTTTGAGACAACACAAGGGAAGGGTGAACGGTCCTCTGACATTCGATTAGCCCTGATCATAACATTCTACATTATATACAATTGTTTTTGTTATTTCCAGATGATCATTCCATTTTTAATTAATAGAATAGTGTTGTTGAGCTCCCCTACTGTTAAGGATTTAGAGCTACCCTGCATGATGGGTGTTCTATAAATGCAAGTTACTATATCAATTTTAGCTTCTGTCTGGCTTGTAACAGAGGTGGACATAAAGACATTAAATAGCCTTCCATTGCTATTTAAAAGAAATGGGGAATTATTCTCCCACTTTTTCTGCCCTTTATTGCCTGCCGAATCCAATTGTTTCCCCAAATTCAAATTAATTTGCTACTCATCTTATTGCTGGGACTTTGATCTCATGATCCAGGCTGATTGGCGATGCACTACATTGTTAGAGATGTTAAACCAAGGCCCTGTCTGCCTGTTCAGGTTGATGTTAAAAATCCACAGCACTATTTGAAAAGAGAAGGTAGTTTCTCTTTCAAAAGTTGAATTGGTCATGCAACTCATGGCTGACTACTTGTCGGACATTAATCTATGCAAATTGGCTGTCACATTCACCTACAAATACACAGTCACTAAACGTAATACTTCGAAGCGTTTTAATAATAATAATAAGTTTTGAGATGTTTCGACATAGTAAAGCATTATCTCTATTGCAAAGGTTATTTTATTTTAAAACAACATTCTCTTCATTACTACTCAGTTACATATTGTAAATGCAGTGAAAAAGTTATTTTTATATAAAAAACACTGTTCAAATACAAGATATTAGCATGTAGAGTATTTCCTGTACAAATGCATATGAACAACAACAACAACAACAAGATACCATTTATAGAGCGCCTTTCACGTCGGGAGGACGTCCCAAGGCACTGGACAGTTGGGTCGGGACCCGAGCAGGGGGGAAATGGTCAGGGTGAGGGGAGGGAAGGGAGGGAGCGAGGAGGGGGGAAATGGTCAGGGTGAGGGGAGGGAAGGGAGGGAGCGAGGAGGGGGAAGAGAGTCGAGAGGGGAGCTGAAGGCACGGTCAAAGAGAAAGGTCTTGAGACCGACCTTGAAGGAGGAAAGGGAGGAAGCGGCGAAGGCACTGGGGGATTGAGTTCCAGAGCCTGGGGGCTGAGAGGCTGAAGGCCCGGCCACCGATGGTAGGGCGGTTGGGGTGGGGGATGTGGAGCAGACCGGAACCAGAGGAACGGAGGGTATGGGCAGGTAAGTAGGGGGATAGTAGGTCGGAGAGGTAGGAGGGTGCAAGGCCATGAATGGCCTTGTAGGTGAGGATAAGGATCTTGAATTCGATCCTCTGGGGGATGGGGAGCCAGTGGAGGCGAGCGAGGGTGGGAGTGATGTGGTCGCGAACAAGGTTTCAATGCCCATTATTATTGGTGGCTCCGAAGTCTGCTTTTGTGCCATTGAATAATCTAGAAATGAAGCACCGTGCGGCAATGAAAAGATAAGGCTGGATGTACCAAAGCATCTGAAGCAAGAAAGATGTTCCCAAATGGAAGATTATTTTGCTACATCACATTACTTTTACATCTGCTGATTGTCACTTTTTTTAAACTGTTAGCATCCGCTTCTCATATCAGATTAATCCTACTTGTGAGTGATTTGTAATTCAGCAGTGAGATCAAATGGCTTTCAATATGATCTCATTTTAAAGTTTAGTTCCTTGACTGGGTGGCTTTGCAACAAGCGATCCATTTTCCCAACAACAAATTATCATAATCTATTCTGAGATACAAAGGAGGGAAGAGAATTGTAACGCTGCATCCCAGAGCTGAAGACATTCAGTAAATCCAGAGACACAAGCCAATCTGAATCCAGTTCCTGTACTATATTTAAACGGCAAAGGTTCCTTTCCTGACCTCAATATTCATATACATTATCTGTATCAATATTCATATTCATTATTCACATATATTATTAACAAAGAGAGCTTGTCGAATGGTTTAATATCAAGACTCCAAAACAAAGTATTAAATCTACGTGCTATAGACCCACTCATTGGGTCCTTTCATGGCTTTTATTGCTTGATTAAGGATTGAAGCTGGCATTATTGGTCATGCAGGATGCATTCCAGTACAACCCAGTGGTGGCTCTGTTTTACTCCAGAACAAATGCAGTGAACACAAAAGACTCTGAGAATATGAAAGTACATGAAGGAGAATAAATAGAGCATTGTGTTGTTTGGCGCCTGAGCTTCTGAGAGGAACCATGGCAGTTTAAGAATTATGGAGTATTTTGATAAACATCTTCAGTGTGCTTTTTTAAAAAAAAATTATCAAGAATATTTATATGAGAATAGTAACAATACAAACACAACAGTAAATCAGTAAGTATCTGACCAGCATTCAACACTTGATGCGTGATTTCTTTTCGCCTTCTGCAACAGTCAAGTTGCAAATATATGCAAATAAATCAAATATCACTGAAATATAAAATATAGATAACATGTTAAAAAACAATGATTAAATATTTAACCAAACGCAAATGACAATCATAGATTTCTCCATTTATGACTCCCATTTATGACCCCACCCTACCTCTGCGACCTCCTAATCCCCTAACAACCCGCCCGTTCCCTCCGATCAGCCGGCTCCGGCCTGCTCCACGACCCCCGCCCCACCATTGGCAGGAGAGCCTTCAGCCACTCTGCCCCCAACCTCTGGAATTCCATCCCCCAATCACTCCGCCTCACCCCCTCCTTAGCCTCCTTCAAGTCCCGCCTCAAGACCTTCCTCTTTGACCATACCGTCAGCCACCCCCCTTCCCCTCCCCTCCCTTCTTCCCCCCTGATCTCTGCTCAGGTCTGAAATGCTGTACTCTGTCCAGCACCTTGGGACATCATCCCAACGTGAAAGGCGCTATACAAATGTAATTTTGTTGTTTTTGTTGCTTAATCCGCAGCATAGCTGAAGCTCTCTATATTACAACCTTCCTTTTTCTATTTTATAGATATTCTAAGGTAGACCTCAGGTTGCTTGCTAATTAAGAACCTAGATTCTGGGCTCAAATCCTGGTGGGTTCGTTCAACCGTTCCACGACTGTTTGTGGGACACTGCTGTGCGCAATTGGCTGCCGCATTTCACCCACAACTATACAGTCAATTCACTTTACAGTCTATCCTGTGAAGCGCTGTGAGACGTCTAGAATCTAGACGTGAAAAGCGCTATATCAAATGCAAGGATTATTATTATTATTATTATTATTCAGCTTATTGAAGGGCAATAAAATGAATACCGTGTATCAAGTATAGCCTCTTGGGAGTGCTTGTCTCTTGATGCTGAGCTGACTCTATTCTCCAGATTTATTTTTTTCACAAATTTTACCACCTAAAAATACTTCCCTAGCAGAACTTGGGGATTACAGGGGGAAGGGAAACTGTTACAACCTTGCCCTGATCTTGTCCTCACCAAGCTCCGAGCTTAGTGGTGGCCAATCTGTAGCCTGCAGGGCCTTCAACAAGCAGCCCTCTGAACATTCGCACTGGTCTAGGTAAGTCCGTGTTCTTTTAGAAGTGTGTTTTCCGTTTTTTCTTGATTGAACATTTCTCGATTATGGCATGAATCAAGAAATATTCAATCAAGAAAATATATTTGCTGGCCAACCATAAAGATTGGCTACCACTGCCAAGGGGGTATTGGATAGCAGCCACAGTATTGTACCTTGTCATTGGATGGCAGGACCTCAGACTTGTACTTGATCCCTTCCCAGCCCAGCTGTGTTAATATCTATCGTAATTTTAACTTGTAATACGAGCTCAAAGCAAAATCTGGAGATTGAACTGGTTCAGTAGGGAAGCGATTAGAGGTGTATGGCAGGAGGCTAGGGAGGGGGTTTTAGGATGGCTGATGTAATAAACATTGTCACAGACTACGGAATGGTCTGCTTCATCCTATTCTGTAGATCCTATTCTGTGTAATAGTAGATAATAACATATGTAATGTAATACCATCGCACCTTATATACATATGTTGTGGTATGGATGGTTGGGTGGGGTAGGGGCGGGGGTGGAGAGGCAAACATGCTCCATTAAATAATCTAACCCTGGTTCGTGGATACTCCCCAGGTTCAGTCTCAGTATTGCTCTTAGTTAATTACATATTGGGCATCAGCATCTCTAAATGGGGCTGGAGAGGGAGCGAAAATGTACGAGAAAGGAAGCATTCTTCTGATTATCAGATTTTAAACAGCCGAAGTGCTCAATAGGATATAAGAGACTTGTAACTCCATTAAACCAAAATTACGGAAAGTAGTAAATAAGAAAGCATCTCAGTAACCTTACAGAATGTCATTTGTAACAGTTGAAGTGTTGCTATTTCACTGTTAAAATATGAAGCATGTTCGTGTGTGCTGCCATAGAGAGCTTGCCACTCACACAGGCTCTCTTCCCAGCAGCGCACAGATTAAAAACATTTGACAGGTTAAAGCCACCAATTTTCATTCCGAATCCAACCTGCAGATTGGGCTGATGAGGCAAAGTATTTATTTATGCACTGAACGTTGTGTCAGAGCAAAAGAACAAAGGATTAATTGGACTGGAAAATGGACGAACAGAGAGCCTGAATAGCAGGTTGATCCGGGGTCACAAACAGAACTTACCAAAGGTTACTTCAATTTCAGACAATTTATTTTTAGAAGTACCAGGGATTTTTTTCCCCAATTTGCTGATAATTGCCTGTCCTGATCAGACACTGGTATAAGCCTGGGTTTCAGTATCCTGCTCCTTTGTTAGAAGGACGAAAGCCATCAAAAAACAAAAAAAGACTTATCCTACGAGTCAAGTGATTAATTACCATGTCGACAGTCACGATCACAAGGGCTGCTTTATTCAGAGAGCGTTGCATTACCATAGGCACCTATCAGGGAACATAGGCTTCTATTCTTCAAAGCCAGAGAGCTCTTGTTAGTTCCATTTAACTAGGCTGACTTGTACAGTACAATCCGCTGTTTAAAAAAGCACTCCTTCAAGAGCTGTCAGGGAGCCCTATCATCTGAGCTGATGAGGTGCAACAGAATATGCAGCATTTGCATTTGGTTGACAGAACTGTTGCTTGCACACAGCGGTCGTGCTGTTGACACTGGATGGTTTTGGTAGATCAGTCATCTCTTCCCCCCCCCCCCACCTCCCTCCTGAACCACCCAGCAGGTGCCTGGAGTTCAGCTTGTCCTTGCATTGGTATATCAAGTAGTACAAATTACCGCTAAGACATAGTGATCGGTCGCTAATGGTACCAGGTACCTTGTCATCGTACTACAGGGGAACAACAGGGTCTTTTTAACCTTTCCTTCTCCAGTCACCTCTTGTTTTGCAACCTGTGTTAGTTACATTGTAACCTCAATTGGTCAGTCACTTCATGGCTGTTTGTGGGACATTGCAAATTGGCTGCTAGTTTTGCCTATAAATGCACATAAACTAAGCTTCACAATATATCTTGTAAAGCACTTTGAGATGTCCTCCTAACATTAAATGGCGCTATATAAAATGTTAGGGTTATTATTATTTCTACACCATTATTGCTTGTTTTGCATTTTACCTTCTACTTATAACTTTAAATACACCCCAAGATTATTTTACATTGTTAGAAAGAGAGAAGCAGAACAGCAACTTCATATAACAATTATATAGTATCTTTCATGCAGGGAAATGCCTCAAAGAGCTTCTTAGAGGCAGAGTGGGAGCCGGAACAAGGTGGGGAACCTGGGGGTGATTAGAATGAGGCAGAGTGGAGTGCGTTTTCTAAGTTTAGAGTAATGGGGTAATTTGTCCATTGTAATTTGTAGTATGAGCTACGTGATAGCCATCTTATGCAGATCAGTCCGATTCACTGGGCAGGACCACCCCCGGCGATGCATGACTAATAACAGATGGGTCACTGGGTTTTGCTCAATAATTTTGAATGAACTCCCTCGGTCTTACTGGTGTGGTGCAAAGGCCTTATCCTTCCGACACAATCTTCCTAGGTGGCTGTATGATTGACAGTCAGCTTTGCTCCACCCAGGGTGAAAATGTCAGCCAGCGACTCCACGCTGCTGAGTAACATGCAGCGATAACAAATGATGCATCATTGATTGTGTCTGTCTGCATTAGCCAGCCAGCCCTTCACAACTGGCTCAGGCAGAAGGGCAAGTAGGTTGAGGGTTCTGCTGTCACTCCACCCTTGCAGTCGTCACCTGGCCAGCAGCTGTACTCTCTGAATGAATAACTCGAGGGACCAATTGAGGCTGAATGGACTATTCTGCACCCAGACCATTTGGACATGGTGGACCTGAATGAACTTTTGCTGAATAATTCAAGTTAAAGCAGTAAAATGCCAGCTAATCTGGTTTGTCAAGCTCTTTGAGATGGCCTCCTGACGTGAGACGAAAATGTAAATTGTATTGTAAACTCAATTTAAGCTTTGTAAAAATCATTTGTATGAGTGAAATCTGCCAGGTTGTAACATGGATATAGATTGGGATAGGAATACGTATTACGACAGTCATATAGGGGCTGCGTCAGGAGTACAGGTGATTACAGACACAGGCTATGATAGGCATATAGACTGTTATAAGCATACCTGCTCCTTATAAGCATACAGGCTGCTTTAGGAGCACAGACTATAATACTTCTAAGCTAATAGACGTAAGCACCGCCAGGCTCACATAGGAAAGTTGTCACTTGGCAACCAGAGAACGAACAGCGTCTGTGCCCCAGCGAGAGTCTCTGCCTGCAGGAACCGAGGGGAGAAAATGAAAGAGGAAAAAATAGTAAAACCAAAATTAGATTTGAGAACTTAGAGATCTGTCTTTGCAAAAGAAAATGACCAAAGTGCTGGTGTAGGGAGGGGCATTCTTGATATGTTTCATTTTATAGTCTTTTAGCAAGCGATTGTGTGCGTGCTGCATTGTTAATGGTAATATCCTTCAGGTGAGACATTAAACTGAGGTCCTGGTTGGCCATTTGTGGACGTTGCAAATTGACTGCCGCAGTTGCCTACAAATATACAATCACTACATTTATCCTGTGAAGGCTTTGATGTGAAAGTCGCTATATGAAATGTTAGGTTTTTTGTTGTCTCTCTCAGACTGTTCTGTGCTTTTATCTCCAGGTTCCAGTGCTGAAACCCATGGACCTGATGGTGGAGGCAAGTCCTAGGAGAGTATTCTCCAACGCTCACACATATCACATCAACTCAATAGCAGTAAATAGCGACTATGAGACCTACATGTCTGCTGATGACTTGAGGATAAACCTCTGGCACTTAGAAATTACCAACAGAAGCTTCAGTATCCTTTTTTGCTGAAAAACTAACGGCTTCTTAAACAGTCTTGCCATGTATAAAATGAAGGTGGACGATTAAGTAAAGAAGGTCCTGACATGGTTTGAGATCAAAGCCATCCTCATTCAAACAATGGGCTTTCCTCATTTTGTTTTAATTGTTCACCCTGTCAACAACCTGCCCGAGTCAGAGCTTCCCTCGTGGGTGGAATGAGTTTTTCCAGCAAATAACAGCCTTGTAGATCTCCCAAGTCTCAGGTTCAATTTTGAATGTAATTCAGTGTAAGTAGCAGGGTCTCATAAGAACCTTCCTAGAAGGTGAGTTTCTGGGGACATTGGGAGATGAAGGGATCCAGCACTCTGTGATGCCCCTCTCAGTTTAATAGCTTGCTGACATACAAGGTGCACATATGTGCAAGGTACTGACAGATTGGCATATTGTGGAACCATAGTAGATTAAGTCACTGTCCCCAGCACTGCATTGGATTGTCACCTTAGACTATTTAAGTTCAAGTCCCGACATGGGCCATGAACCCACAACCTTCTGACTTAGAGGCAAGAGAGATTGTCAAACTAGGAGTTATAATGTTAAGACAATGCTTTATCTTGCAGACCAAAGCTCTACGTTTACAAACTTGCTTTTCTTTATTTGATTTGTGAAGAAGCTTGTGGTATTTCCTTCTCTTCCCTCCCCCCACCCATATCAATAGCTGACATTACATTGAGCTGTGACACTCCATGGCCTTGCCCTGTCCGACACTGGTTTGCCTGGGAAGGCTCAGCGTCAGTGGCTGATTGATGAGGGTAATTATTCCCACTTGTTCTGCTGTAACGGGTCGTCCCATCTGACACAAGCTCTTTACATCTGCTACCAGCAAGAAGTGCAATTAAAATTCCGATCAATTCTAAGTGGATTTACCACCTCTCTAGTGCTCAGGCTCCTGTTTGGGCGAATTCACCCATAGCTACACTTTCACTTCAGTGAAAGCTACACTTATATTTTCTTTGTTCTGAGTTATAAAGACAAACCCTAACCATGCAAAGAAAAAACACTCTTTCCGATTTGCTCAGAGTTTTTGTAAGTGAAGCTGTTATACAGAGAAGCTTGCAACCAGAGCAATCATGCCCATCCTTAAAGGAGCAATTGTAGATTTACGAATTCAGACAATCTTTTTAGCTGTGGTAAACTTCAATGCTAGATTGAAATGGACTATTCTAGACCATTCGCTAACTCATCAGATTCTTTCTTGTGAATGCTGTATTGTTATCAGACATATCATTTTACAAATGTGGTTTCTCCTTTTCCTAACCACCCCTACATACACATTCTTATTTTAAAAATATAGATTTATTTATTTTTCTTTGTAGGTCACATTCTCTGCTCAGGCTGTATTGGCCTGTAGCGTCCAGTGTAACCAGCCCTGATAATCAGAGGTGAACTCCAGCCTCCTTTATTCCAAACATTGTGCTCAGTGTTGTAAGTCAAAAGGATCAACCAGCTGTTCTTGGAATTGGGAAGCATCACTTGGTGTGGATTTCTTTCTAAGAGGGTGTAGCTACACACACAAATGCACAAGAAAAGTTGGGAGGCTAAACTTTTCTACCTCCTAAACCGCCAACACCAGCCACGTTGTACCTCAAATCCAACCCTCAAGACCCCTGACTCACCCTATTTGTCCAACCCAAGCCCTATATTCAAGAAGAGCATTGTTCTTGACTACAAGCGTTAGCACACAAACAAAACAGAATTGCGAGTCCCTTGTTATATGTGTGTGTGATGTAGCTTGTAACCAGTGATGTACCATGACTGGGGAAAAAGGTGTAACATTTGTACAGTTAAACACAGCCAATTTTCTACATGGATCAGGGGTGTTTCTCTGTAAGATTATTTCCTTAAATCCTGATTCCCAGATATTGTAGATATAAAGCCTGCCAACATGGAGGAGCTAACAGAGGTGATCACGGCAGCAGAGTTCCATCCGCACCAGTGTAACATGTTTGTGTACAGCAGCAGTAAAGGAACCATACGACTGTGTGACATGAGGGCCTCGGCACTGTGCGACCAACACTCCAAATGTAAGAAAGCATTCAATTAACCCATTTTACCCCAAGCGCTGTTGAAGTCCCTCTTGAAGCTTCCTCCAGTGTCCCAATGGGTACGGACATTGCCTAGTGCAGATACCTGGCCATAAATGTGCAGGTTCAAACCCCACTCTGTGCTGAGCTGGTTATTTAAGCAATTCTATGCATACTGTTTGAAGCTGATCAAACATGTACATTGCTGCCTTGAAAAGTATTCTCAAAGCGAGCAGATGTGAGCGGATGGGTCTGGAGGCTGTCTCAATGGCAGAGCTCTACTGGAGTCTAAACATCCCATGTTTTCTGTGTGTTAGTAACTTATGCTTAGGAACAATTGCACTTCAATTTCTGATGTAGAACTTAGTAAAGTGTTAGTTTATTAGTAAAGTTGTTAGTTTATTGCAATTCCCTAAAGAAACACTCTTGAGTACTTTTTGTTCCCTTTAAATTGCACCAACCCCCCCCTTTTCAGCAAAAGTAAGGAGATTTGACTATGGAGGCATCCATCAATCTTAGTCCATCTGTGCTTTTCACATGAATGCCTCGTCACTTTTATTGCGACTGCAATATTCGTTCATGACTTGATAAGCAATGTACATCATTCAAAGCTGTGTGTGGGGCTGGAAGGAGGAGATCTCTAGAGACTATGTCATGGTCTTGTAGTTTCACTAGCCAAGTGACTCATGTACTTTATTTTATACATCAGCATTGAACTGCCAGTAGATCTTGCCGAAAAACAAACGTGCTTTGGGAACAATAATTTGTTCAATAAAGTAGGCATTGCCCAAATAGTGCAGAAATTTGTTTCTTTTCTACCTCTGTCAAGAGGAAGGGGTATTCGGGAGAGGGGGTAACTCAAGAGGAGAGGCGGGGGGATTCTGTTGGTATTTATATTATGTGCTGGGCTGGAATCCACAGGAATCACCTGGCCTGGCTGTGGCTCACAGAGCAAAATCATACAACTACTGCAGAATTATTACAATTACTGTTTGTGGGACATTACTGTCCGCATATTGGTGGCAAGCTTGCCTGCAAAATACAATCGCTACACTTTACAATAAATCCTTTAAAGTTCTTTGAGACATCAACAACAACAACAACAACAACAAGATTCCATTTATAGAGCGCCTTTCACGTCAGGAGGACGTCCCAAGGCGCTGCACAGTTGGGTCATGACCCGAGCAGGGGGGAAATGGTCAGGGTGAGGGGAGGGAAGGGAGGGAGAGAGGAGGGGGGAAATGGTCAGGGTGAGGGGAGGGAAGGGAGGGAGCGAGGAGGAGGAAGAGAGTCGAGAGGGGAGCTGAAGGCACGGTCAAAGAGAAAGGTTTTGAGACCGGCCTTGAAGGAGGAAAGGGAGGAAGCAAGGCGAAGGCACTGGGGGATGGAGTTCCAGAGCCTGGGGCTGAGAGGCTGAAGGCCCGACCACCGATAGTAGGGCGGTTGGGGCGGGGGACGTGGAGCAGACCGGAGCCAGAGGAACGGAGGGTACGGGCAGGTAGGTAGGGGGATAGTAGGTTGGAGAGGTAGGAGGGAGCAAGGCCGTGAATGGCCTTGTAGGTGAGGATGAGGATCTTGAAATCAATCCTCTGGGGGATGGGGAGCCAGTGGAGGCGAGCGAGGGTGGGAGTGATGTGGTCGCGAAGCCTGGTGCGGGACAGTACACGAGCTGCAGAGTTCTGAATGACCTGCAGCTTGTGGAGGGAGGTGGCGGGAAGGCCGGCGAGGAGAGAGTTCCCATAGTCCAGCCTTGAGGTGACAAAGGCGTGAACCAGGGTTTCAGCAGCGTGAGGGGTGAGGTAGTGCCGTAATCTGGCGATATTCCGGAGGTGATGGAAGGCGGTGCCAGTTGTGGTGCGGATGTGAGGGAGAAAGGACAGCTCAGGGTCGAACAAAACGCCGAGGTTCCTGACTGGCTTTGAGAGGTGGAGAGTGCAGCCTTGGATGCTGATGGTGTCAGCGCCTGAGGTGCGGAGGCGCTGACGTGAGCCAATCAGGAGGGCCTCGGTTTTTCGCACGTTGAGCTGAAGAAAGTTGTCTCTCGTCCAGGACTCGATGTCGGACAGGCAGGCTGTCAGGACATCGGTGGTCGTGGAGTTGAGAGTAGAGGAGGAAAGGTAGAGTTGGGTGTCATCCGCATACATGTGGAAGTTAACCCCATGTTTGCGGATGATGTCACCAAGGGGGAGCATATAGAGGGTGAAGAGGAGGGGACCGAGGACAGAGCCCTGAGGGACACCACATGAGACAGTACGGGGGGTGGAGGAGAAGCCATTCGTTGAGACGAAGTGAAGACGGTGGGAAAGGTAAGAGCTAAACCATTCAAGGACAGTGCCTTGAAGGTTGAGGTGGGAGGACAAGCGGTGGAGTAGGATAGCGTGGTCGACCGTATCGAATGCTGCCGATAGGTCGAGGAGGACGAGGAGACAGAGGGAGCCCTGGTCACAGATGGTCAGGATATCATTGGTGACCTTGACCAGGGCAGTTTCTGTGCTATGAGCAGCACGGAAACCTGACTGAAGGGGTTCGAAAAGAGAATGGGTGGAGAGGAAAGAGCGCAGTTGGGAGGCGACAACTCTTTCCAAGACCTTGGAGAGAAAGGGGAGGTTGGAGATGGGCCGGTAGCTTGATAGCTGCGACGCATCAAGGGAGGGTTTTTTCAGGGTGGGCGTGATGATGGCAGTTTTTAATGGAATGGGGACAGAGCCAGAGGAGAGGGACAGGTTTATGATGTCAGTGATGTGTGGGGCAAGAAAATGGAGCTGGGAGATAAGGAGTGGAGTGGGGATGGGGTCAAGGGAGCAGGTGGTTGGTTTTAGGGATAGGATGAGTTCAGTGACAGAGGGTGGGGAAACGGGTACGAAGGTGTGTACATCATTCCCAACATGAAAGACGCTACATCAAATAATAGGAAATAAAGAAAAAGAACTGAGAGTGCTGGAAATCTGAAATAAAACCAGAAGTGTCATAAATCCAGAGCATCTGAAAAAGATAATGGTTTGAGTCTGTTTTAGATGCAAATCCTATGTTCAATGCATACTGAATTAATGAATTTGGCAAAAGGAATTGCAATAATTGTGAGATGTCCATTACTGTGAAGTGATGTTTGCTGCGATTTGAGATGGTTACAGGATGTGGCACTAGTGGGTGATATCTTTGTTTCTGTGCTTATCCGTGAGTGTGTGTGTTCTTTGGCATTCTCTTTAATACCACGTGTAAAAACAGCTTCATGAAATATTCATCATTCACACAACAGAGTGAAGCTGGCACAATCAAAATGAAAGTATTTTACAGCAATTTTGCTGGAAACTGATTTCCATCATCACACAAAAACCAAGGGAATTGGTTAGTGAGCAGAATTTTCAAGATTTCAGGACTTTATTTGCAATTTACCAAAAGAGGTATTTATATAATATATATAATCATTAGGATCTTTCCCACGAATCTCTTGTATTCCTGATGACTTTGATGGATGATGTTAACCTTCCTCTATGGAGCAGTTACTCCGGAATGAATACTTCTGTTGGAAGCTATGACCCTTTAACATTACAGGCAGAAAAAATAGGATTGTTAACACAACTCCGGGGTGAAGGAATCTTGTACATGACCTTGCTCCTTGTGTGCCATGGATGTTGTGAGAGGCGATCTCGTGTGAGACAGCGCAGTTTTTCAGAGCAAACGCAATGATTAGGTATTATGAGGTGATGATTAAATTCTACCATCTTTGGCTGTCATGGGACTGAGCAGAAACAAATTGCAAGGATTTGTCAATGAGCCACACACAGAGGTGCAGCCCACATGGTTTGAGCACAATTAATTTCAATAAGATAATTTTCAAGTTGAGCATTGGGATGTCCTTCTGACGTAAAAAATATGAATGTAATTTTGGTGAACATCGGATTTGACAATGTTGAGGGAGCATCTTATTTGTTAATCAAAGAGAGATGGTTGAAGAGGAAAATGTCAAACTGTCCACATACGTTAAGAATAAAATGTGGAGCAGTCTGATTTTAAGGTCCAGAAGAATCGCTATTGAAACATTGGAATTATAGGCGATTTTCATTCCTCAAAGGAATCAAAAGTTGAAAAGTTAACTATTAAATACATAGTTAGCTTTCAATACTAATTATTAGAAAATTCTTTGGGTATTGTAATCTTACCAACTCTCCCTGTTTCAGTTGATAGACTATTTTAGTCAACCAGCATCATCTGATTGAAGCCTATCCTATTGCTTAGATATTAATATTTTAAAAGCGATTTCCGCAATAATTTCATTCGAATGCATTTATTTGTTTCCTCTAACATTAATGGTGAAAGGGATGTTATTTTTCCAGATTGTTACATTTCTTGTAGAAAGTTCAAACTGAGCTTTATTAAAATAACTAATGTCTTCTTCAACAGTCCAGTGGTTAATACTGTGCAAACTGAAGGTTGTGGAGAGAGAACAGTCAGTGAAGCAAACTGTCCTCGCGTCAGCCTAGACTGCAGTGGATCCAAGTCCTTGTGTTAGCAAATTTCAGGGACCGGGAATCCAATGCAGTCTGGACAGCTGTGCTTCATTGGCTGTGAAGAATCTTTGTAAAATGAGTTTTGTCAATTACTACATGTCCCAGTGATTTTGAGCTGCCTGGAAACTGCGCTAATTGCCATTAAAATGGTAGTCTCACTCAGAGTGGTAGGTTTGGGAAATGGAAATGTCACACTGGTATGCATTAGGAAGTGTTTTTTTCAGAGTTTGGAACTGAAGCATATTTTTGATGCAGTGTAGAAGGAGCCTGTGCTGTAATCCACCAGAGAGTGCGTTATACTGATAGTGAGCCATTTTTAAAGTTGGGCTCTTTCACAGACTTCACCAAATGTTCACATTTTACCTGTGGATGAAAGTGGATAGACAGTTGGATTAGTACAAATCTGGGGCAAAGCTGAAAGAATAGAAGAGCTTGTTAGAATTATACTGGAATCTCACTGTAAAGTACTTCACTGTGAAGTGGGTTCGCTTGTAGCACGGCAGGCAGGAAAGGACATTAACAGTGACCTGATGATCTGGAGGTTGGCCATTTTGGGTTTGGTTTTGTCTCTCAGCGCACATGTCCAGGGAATGCTGAATTCCCGATCAGTAATCACGCCCTAGTTATAGTGGAATATTATGGACCCAGCTACCATGTTATAACAGGACTCCACTGTGTCTCACTTCTTTTTCATAGTTTTGCCCACAAATATACAGTCAATTCACTTTACAATATATTCTGTGAAGCTCTTTGAGACGTCTAGAAGACATGAAAAGCACTATATCAAATGCAAGGATTATTATTACAGATCTGAATTATTTAAAATGTCAGCTTTCAAAGGACACCAAGCTGAGGCAGGAGCTAGTCTGGAAATGTCCTTAAGGGCATGTTTTATGTTTTAATGATAACAAGTTATCAATATTCTTGATTCATCTTTCAAAGCAATGTTGCAAAAATGCAATGCTTGTGAATGTGAATATTGTCCCATCTCCAGTTGAATGTTCTTCTATTAAATTAGTTGGAAAAATGAGGGCAGATTTAAAGCTGCTCAGTTCTGGCCATCAGCTCTGAGGTGGAAATCACTACCATTAACTATTAATGCAATTAATGATCAAACGCCAACATTTATTTGTGTGGAAGGTCAAACAAAAGACACATTTGTGGCCTCCTAAACGTCCCTCAGTCCCTTAATGTGCCTTGTTTGTTCCTTAGAAATCACTCTTTTGATGCTGTGAATGGGATGCATTTATATTGCCTTGTTAGAGGACACGTAAGACATCCAATACTCAGGAGTTTAGAAATACTGTACAGTAAATTCCTGAAGGTAACTTGATCCTGGCATACATAACCTGTCACTGACACTTAAATCATTATGCTGTCAATATCCCAGTCGCATTTATTTGTGTATTTATACATATGCCTAAAATTGCCATTCCAGATAACTCGTCACTGAGCCCTTTTTCCTTGGAGTGCCGAGTTACCAGGGGTTTACTATAATGTTTTGTACTGAAAATGGCATATTTTTGTTGAATGCTTTAAATAAACTGGTAACTTGAATTTCTTTTGTTAATCATAGATCTGTTCCCTTTTTTAAATTATTTGTGAGGTGTTTTAACATCAGTATCAGCAAAACTGCACCACTGATTTAAAAGCCGAACCATGTATAATGCTGACTGTGTGTTGTCTGCAATTATTAACCTAATCACTATAAATAATAATAATAATCCTTGCATTTGATATAGTGCTTTTTACGTCTTCTAGACGTCTCAAAGCGCTTCCCAGAGTAGACTGTAAAGTGAATTAACTGTATATTTGTGGGAGAAATGCGGCAGCCAATTGCGCAAAGCAGTGTCACACAAACAGTCGTGGTTTGAAGTGACAAATTTATTATTGTTTTATTTTCTTAAGGGATTATTATCAGGCGTGTGAAGTAAGGAAACTTGCCCAAGGTTTCACCCTGCTGGGAATCGAACCCAGGTCTCTCGCTTGCAAAGTGAGTACTCTAATCACTGAGCTACAGGACTCCCACTAATTTGGGAATTTGGAACAGTTCTGTTCAATTCAGGTAGATTTTACACAGCAGGACAGTGGAAAAACTGCTGACTAAGTTACAGACCAACACGGCACTGATCCCACTGCATCACATTTCCGCTGAGACGTACAACTTATCTCCCTTCTCTAGACTTGTGTGGATTGAAACGAAAGATGTTACAATGCTGGAGTTAGTGGAACTGAGGAGGTGATGACACCTATTGTGTATTCGTTGTTTGCATTGGAGTACAAGATCACAAGAGAGGTTTGGATGAAGAAAGTCCTTCAGCCCATTGTTCCAGAATACCATTCCACACAACTTGAAATTCTGTTTTTAATTGAGTTCAATGTCCTGGCCTCAACCCTCAGTACTGGTAACCTGCTCCAATCATTAATTATCCTGTGGGTAAAGAAATACTTCTTAATGTCTCTCCCTTTGCAGTTCGGTACCTGTGTCCTCTTGTTCTGCTGGTTAAAACTAAAATAAAATTATTTTTGATAAGCTTGCAGGAGGTTCTATAAGTTGGCTAAATTTTACAAGAATCGTCCAGCTCCCTCTCAATGGGATATTGTAGAAGATTGATTGTTGCTCTAAGAGGAAATGATTCTGTCCTCATTGCTCCGGCTGTTTTAAATCCTTGGCTGTTTCAGATGCAGACTGGGGGCAGTATGGCTACATGGGAGAATGCTTCCTATTTAACACTCTATTTAACATTCGATGCTCACAAGCAATGCTAAGAAAGGGAACCAAGCTGAGCTTAACACATTCTTCTCATTACATTCTGGTTGACTTACTGTAGGTTTTCAGCATTTTCTGATTTTATTTTATAGGCCACTATTCGCAACTGTTACCTCTGTCGCTACAAAATGAAAAATCTGTGTGTTCTTCAATCTCATAGAAACATTGAATCAGAATTTTACAGCCCAGAATAAGACCGTTTGACCATCTGGCAGTATTTCTCGAGCGCTGCTGAAAATTGAAGAGAGTTTTATTCATTTATTTCTGAATCCATCAACATGCATTATGACCATTATTAATATCCCATCATAAACATTCAAAATTATCTCCGCTAAAGGATGTCCCCAGACGGAACTGGTTTAATTTTTCTTTGATGAACTTTGATCCCTTTTAACAGTGTGTGTTCCTTCTGGTAGTGAGCAGTGTCTGGCCTTTTAAGTAGAGAATTTCCTTTGCCAATTGCAAAGCGTGGATGCCCTGTGGCACTTGCAGAGATTGTTTTCGGTAATATTCCTCCACTAAACTCGATGAAGCGCAATTAAGGAATTCCGTGAATATATTAAAATGGGAAAAATTATCATGGTTTTTGATTTTCAAATAAAGATGCTGAACCTCTGAGAGAATTATTAATGGAATTAAAATGAGCTCTGGTCTCCAACAGAAGAATTGTTCATTATGAAGAGATTTAATTGAGAACCATAACTTGCAATTATGCAGCACTCTTCATTTAAAAAAAAGTGCCTTAAAAAACTTAGCCATAGAAATAGTGAATACTCAGAAAGCATGTAGTAAGAGTTTAGAGGTGGCCAAAGAAAGGCACAGTCGAAGAGATGGGTCGTTAGTCGTTTTTTTGAAGATGGGTAAGAGAAAATGGAAAGAAAACTGTTTTTGGTGGTGAGTTTCAGACAGTGGGGACTGGCTCCCTGAAAGGGCTCAGGATTTTCAGGTAAAATCGGAGATTTGGCATAAAACTGAATTTAAAAACTTTGTGAGGACTTAAACAGTCAGTGATTGGCTACCTCAAATTCAAGATCCTCATCCTCACCTACAAGGCCATTCACGGCCTCGCTCCCTCCTACCTCTCTGTTCTACTATCCCCCTACTTACCCGCCCGTACCCTCCGTTCCTCTGGCTCCGGTCTGCTCCACATCCCCCGCCCCAACCGCCCTACCATCGGTGGCCTTCAGCCTCTCAGCCCCGAGGATCTGCAACTCCATCCCCCAATGCCTTCGCCGCCTCCTCCCTTTCCTCGTTCAAGGCCGGTTTGACCGTGCCTTCAGCTCCCCTCTCGACTCGACTCTCTACCCCCTCCTCGCTCCCTCCCCTCACCCTGACCATTTCCCCCTTGCTCGGGTCCTGACCGAACTGCACAGCGCCTTGGGACGTCCTCCCGACGTGAAAGGCGCTCTATAAATGGATCTTGTTGTTGTTGTTGTAGCTGACATTCATCAGGGAGGGTGGGCTCTAGGCTGATCTGAGCTGTCACTCACCCTGATTTTAGGCTGATGGGTATCAGGAGCCATTCATGCGGACACTCAGCAAATTTCCCATATAGCCAGTCTGCCCTGGTTTCGGAAGAAAGAAGACTGGTAGCTGAATACTTGTCCTTTGGTAGTGTGATGTTGGTTGAGATCTGGAGCCTTGTGTATATGATCTGAGGAGCCTGGAGCAAACTCAGCCCTGACTGGAGATCATGTTGAACGCAAATCCTGTAATTCGGCCTGAGGTGAACTGGGTTCCCTTNAAAAACATACCTGATGCTTTTCCCCGCGTCAAGGCATGATTTCCATTGTTTTTTATCCTATGTTAGCATTTTCAGCCCCAGTATGCCTGAGCTCCATTTGTAAAAAACTAAACCCCTTTCATGTGAAATGTTGTCTATTCATACATTATTGTTCAGCCCCTCCCAGGCAATTACATTTCTTGACAATTTAGTGGCAAAAGCAGTTGTATGATATGGATTCAAGCCCAGTAGGAACTGTTTTCAAATTGCACCAAAGTTATTTAGCACAAAACCCTTAAAATTGGTACAACAACAACTTGTTTCAGAGCACTTCAATTTAACTGTTTGCTAATACAGTTGATTTCTAATGAATTTCTTTCTATAAAACAATTCTAGGCATTACCTTTGTGCAAATTAACTGCCCAGGTTGCTAATACAGCTTATTTCTAAGGAATGTTTCTATAAAACAATTCTATAAAACATGAAAGGAGTAAGTTGTTGGTACATCCAACCAAGAGAGAGGGGGGAGGCTTTCGTCCCACCAAATCCGGACTGTATTTGAGCCCAGATTCCAGTGGTCACAAAACCATTGCTTCCCTGCTGAATAGCCAGCCTCCTCATTTTTACAATTCTACTGCTAATAAATTTTGAAACACAATTGTCGACGGTTGCAAAATTGCCAAATGTTCTCTGATCAATAAAGTACCATTTTTCCTTTTTGTGCCATTTAGTTTTTGAAGAACCGGAGGACCCTAGTAACCGATCGTTCTTCTCCGAGATAATCTCTTCGATATCGGACGTGAAGTTCAGCCACAGCGGCCGCTACATGATGACGAGAGATTACCTCACCGTCAAAGTCTGGGACTTAAATATGGAGAATAGGCCTATAGAAACATACCAGGTACGTGTCTCAATACATGTGAGGGGCATCAAAGATTTACAGCTGGCAGGTTGGTAGGTATTGGGAGCCAATTGGGGCACTTGGGAAATTTCCTACTTTCCCATATAGCTAGTCTGCCCCTGGCCAGTAATCTGTCCAGTATTTCAGCCAACTTTCTAAGCTATGAGAATAAACGTTGAGTCAATTTCCCTCTGGGCAACAAAGAAATGCTGCACTTAAAGTACTGTGTGCAGTCCTGGTCACTGCAACATAAGTTAGCCACTGAAGCTTTGCAGGAAATACAGAGGCGCGGAGGTGAGGTGGATCCAACATCTCAGTGATGAGCCGTGGGCAACAATTGCAAAATCGAGGGCTCTTCAGCCTGGAAACGAGACGCCTGAGAGAAGATCTTGTATAGATGTTTATCGGGATCAACAAAACAAACCTAGAAAAATTACTTTCAGATAAACCAAAACAGCATGAAAAGAGGGCACAAGTTCAGGGTTGTGAGGAACAATTTTAGCACAGGAAGTATTTGTTAACACAGAGAGTGGAATGCTGCTGAAGGGAAGTTGAGTAATAAAAGTGCTGGAAAGGAGGTAAAGGAAAACTCTATAAATCATTATAGTTATATTAATAGATAATGTCTGATGCTATTTACATGTGGGCCTGAAATGGTAGCGCAGCACCAAATCTGAAATTGGGGACAAAGGGAGTGAAAGAGGCTGCTGCACGTGACCAAGACAAATGGTCTGGGTTTAGTATCTAACTTTGTGCTGTAATATACTGAGAAGATGACCTGGATTTGGTTCTCTTTGTGCTTTGGAAGCAACCTGGGTTTGGTGCTCGATCTTGTGTGGAAGATGCAACCAAAGTTGGGTTTCTTGATGTGTTGTGAATTGTCATAACTGTTGGCTTCAGATAAAAGGAAGTAATTCAACTGTTCACATCTACATTTGGCCAATACATCATTACTAGAGAATCTTGACATGCCAGCAAGGCAGGTCACTTGCTGTGCACTTGTGAGGACTATAGGCGAAAGGTGGGATCAATGAATGAACTTGCTGTGGCTGCTCAGATACTGTGTTATGAAAGGTCAGGAATAGCATCAGAGATTTGGCTGAAGGCTTCAATTCTTCATGTGATGACTTCCATTTAACCCAGTGTGAGCTGGTTGGATGCCGAATCTGGCTGCCTTGAGCAGGATTTACACGATAAATGGGGTTTGTCACTCAGTGAATACCCCAGTGAAATTGAGACCTAACTTCAGTACTGTGTGTAGGTAAAACTGGAGAGAATGTTAACATGTGTTCTGCAATGGGGCAAATTCCATATACGTCTTGTTGAATTTAGTACATAGGTGAAGAGTCTACACCCACAGTGCAGGCCATTAGCAAGGCTGAAAAAGTAACAGCAGATTAGATAAATCGAGAAGCAATAGCTAGATGCTATGAAGCTTGTAAAGAAGTTAAGCTTTTCAGAGAGATTTAAGTATTTTCTTTTCAAAGTGTATCATAGAATCATAGAATTTTACAGGACAGAAGGAGACCATTTGGCCCATTGCGTCTGTGCCGGCTCTTTGAAAAGAGCTTCCAAATCAATCCCACTCGCCCACTCTCTCCCTGTAGCTCTGCAAACTTGTCCTCCCCAAATAGTTATCTACTTCTCTCTTAAAAGTTGTTATTCAATTAGCTTCCACCCCCTTTCAGGCAATGGATTCCAGATCCAAACAACTCGCTGTAAAAAATTCTCCTCACCTCCCCTCTGTTTCTTTCAACAACTATTTTAATTCGGTGTCCTCGGATTACCAACCCACCCGCCAGTGGAAATAGTTTTTGCTTGTTCACCCTATCGAATCCCCTCATAATTTTGAAAACTTATTTAGTCTCTTCTAAACCTTCTCTGCTCTGGAGAATAATCCTAGCTTCTCCTGATAACTGAAGTCCCTCATTCCTGGTACCATCTGGCTAAATCTCCTTTGCACCCTCTCCAATGCCTTGATGTCCTTCCTAAAGTGTGATGTCCAGAACTGAACACAGTACTTTAGCTAAGAACTAACCAGTTCAACTCATTAATCTACAGTCAATTAGATCAAAAGATACAATTATTCAAACAGACAGCATTGAATGCAATTAACCACACCACAATGCAATCTTTTTCACAGCATTTTTAATCCGAATTTCTCGGTTTCTTTCCTGATCGCCACGTTCTCTCTCTTTTTGCTTCTGAAGACAGTATAACGAGACCCTTGTGGTTGCATACTATGTCGTGTGAAGCAATCCTAAGGTTCGCTTGTGGGTTAGAACCATTTAATATATTTCAAAAATAGGTTATTAATACATTCCTTCCAAACTTCATGTTTCTTTCCAGTGACATCAAAAGACTTGCCTCTGAAGTCGAATTAACATAACTCTTTGCTTCAAAGTGTTTGATTCCATTCCCCTTCTAGTGGGGTAAGAGGAGCTAGTCACCCTCCAACTCCTCATGTTCCAGTCACTCACCCAAGTGCCAACCTTGAGTTGTGAGCATTGACACTAAATAGATTCAACTCTATTTGGTGGGGTGGGGGGGGATCGCTGATGGTATCTGATAAACCGTAGAAAGGGAGAGGGAAAGTAATTCGAGTAGAAGGGTGGTCCAAAATTATATTTTCATGTGAAAGAAGAATGGGCCAGAGCTTTAAAAGGCAAGCTTTTTAAATGCTGAAGCACAGATGTAAGCAGCCTCTGATTTGGGCGGTAAAAATCCCTGACTCTCCAGTGCCTTGGGACATCCTCTTGATGTGAAAGGTGCTTTACAACTGTTGTTGGTGTTGATGTAAGCACAGCACTGGAATATAGAGATTCCAATTTAACCAGCCTCAAATCAGACTAGAGAACTGAGGAATTAAAATAGTGTTGTGGCTGTGTCACCATTCACCTAAACAGGCAGATGGGACCTTGGATTGATCTGAAAGACTTCACCTCCGTCAATGCAGTGTTCCTTAAAGTTGCACTGGAGTGCCAGCCTAGACTGTGCTCAAAGTCTTTGACACAGAACTTGAACCCACAACTTATTAAAATAATCCTTGCATTTGAAATAGTGCCTTGCACGTTTACAGTAAAATGTGTACTTTGAAAGTGAACGCGTCAGCCAAACTCTGCACAGTAAGTCCCACAAACAGCCCTGAAGTGAATGATCAATTTTACTGGGGGATTTTTGGCGAAGACTTTGAAAGAAGCTCCCTTCGCTAACCAGAGGCGACTGTTCTACCAACTGAACCAGACTGACATCTTTGGACAGCTTTTAAACAACTTTGATGTGTGCTCTCAAGTCTGTTCAATGCAAACTAGTTCCCCTCTGTAGCACTTACAAACTATCACACAAACTATCATGCAGGAAAATAAACGCTTAATACCATAGCCATAATATGAAGCTGTTTGGATGAAAAATGAAACGGATCAAAAAGCGCATCCGAGGCAAATCAAATCACAATAGTTTGTTCAGCCATCCTTCAGACTAGGGGTCAGTGGTTAACCCTTCAACAAACTCCAGTAATTCTAACAATATGTCCTGCCTGATTGATTCCTGGTTACTCACCATCGCACCTCCAATTTATGAAAGAAAAATGAAATAAGACTTAACATTTTTCATATTTCCAGCAGTCTTTCAGAAAAGCTTGTTGATGGTATTAATATAATGATAGCTTATTTTTAACCAGTACTTTGTGAAACAGCATTGTGTTTGAGGGAAATGCAGGGGGAAAGAAGCTGTGGTTGACCTAGCACAGTGGTGTCACCAGTGGCTAAGCAACCATATTATGTACTAATTACTTACGAGATGACCGATTTCCATCCAGAAGATGTGGGTGGTGAATGAGCACGAGAAAGATGTCAGATACCTTATTGATGAACTTTTACAGTATACACAGGGTCTCAGCCTTCTTGTTTTCCTGGCAGATTTTGCTCACTTACCGTAATCCCACAAATATACAGTCAATTCACTTTACAGTGTGTTCTGTGAAGCGCTTTGGGACGTCCTCCCGACGTGAAAAGCGCTATATCAAATGCAAGGATTATTATTATTATTATTATTATTAATCCTAGTTGCCTTGCACTTGATACGGCTCCTGAAACATCTCAAAGCGAGTCACAACAAATTGTCATCAAGTGGTAGTGACAGTGTATTTGTGGACAAATGCAGCAACCACTTTGTGCACACCGGCAGCTATAATGTGCATTATCAATTAATTTGTGCATTTAATGGGCACTCGCATGAGAAACTCCTTGCTCTTTACAAATAGTGTCATGAGATTTTTTAACATCCATCTGAAGGATGACACCTCCAACAAGTCAGCATCCTGCAGTCCAGGAGCACCAACCAAGATTGCGAAATCAAAGTCCCAACATGTGGCTTGAACCAACAATCTTCTAATTCAAACAGGTGACTGCTACCAGCTGAGTCTGCTCAAAGCACAAGTACTACCAACTGATTCAAGCTCAAACAATCACTGCATATGACAATAATTACCAGTGAAATGCTTTGAGAGTGGCATTCTAGGCAATATAAAAATACCCGTCCATTTTTTCTTCACTGAAGCACTGAACAGCTCCTAGTGAGACTGGTCCAGCCTGTCATTCTCACCAGCCCAGGCACTCATTTGTCTTCTGTTGGTCTTATTTCAGGTTCACGAGTACCTGAGAAGCAAGCTGTGCTCCCTGTACGAAAACGACTGCATCTTTGACAAGTTTGAATGTGTTTGGAATGGCTCTGACAGGTGAGTGATGCCTTGATCTCTTCCCTTCGAATTTTCAGGCACTAGACCAGTAAACTCATCAGCATTTCTTGCCTGTGAACGCCTCATTAATTTATCTTTCAGCAGCTGTAGTATACAACAACAACAGCAACATCAAAATTACATTTGTAAAGCGCCTTTCAAGTCGGGAGGATGTCCCAAGATGCTGAACAGTCAGGGATCAGGACCTAAGCATGGAGGGGTGGGGGGCAGGGTTGGGATGAGGGAGGGCAGAGGGGGTAGGAGGGCAGTTGAAGGCACAGTCAAAAAGGAGGGTGTTGAGTTGTGGTTGAAGGAGGTAAGAGAGGAAGCAAGGCAAAAGGACTGTGGGATGAAGTTCCAAAGAGTGGGGGCGGAGAGGCCAAAAGCCAAATGGTAGGGCAGGTCGGGCGGGAGACCTGGAGCAGGCCAGAGCCTGCTAAGCAGAGGGAGTGGACAGGTTGATAGGGGCTCAGCAGGTCAGAAATATAGGAGGGGGCAAGGCCATGGAAGGCCTTGAAAGTAAGGATGAGGATTTTTAATTCTATCTTCTGAGGGATGGGGAGCCAGTGGAACTGGGCCAGGGTGAGGGTGATGGGATCACGGAGCTTGGTGCGGGAGAGGAGAGGGAGAGGCAGTGGCAGAGTCAGGCAATGTTGCGGAGGTGGTGGAAGGCGGAGCGGATATAGCACGGATATGGGGGAGAAAGGACAGTTGAGGGTCGAACAAGACACCCAGGTTTCTGACTGGCTTGGTGAGTTAACCGTGGATGCTGATGCTGCCAGTGCTTGAGATGCTGAGGTGCTGGAGCGAACCAATCAGGAGGGCCTCAGACTTGCTGACATTCAGCTGTAGGAAGTTGGCTCTCATCCAGGACTTGATGTCAGAAAGGACGTCAGTTGTCCTGGAATCGAGGGTGGAGGCAGAGAGATAGAGCTGGGTGTCATCCGCATACATGTGGAAGTTGACCCCATTTTGCGGATGATGTCACCAAGAGGGAGTATGTAGAGGTTGAAGAGGAGGGGACCGAGGACAGAACCCCGAGGAACACTGCACAAGACTGTGCGAGGGCTGGAAGAGAAACCATTGGCTGAGACAAATTGGAGATGGTGTGAGAGATAAGACCTGAACCATTCAAGGACAGAATCTTGAAGGTTGAGGTGAGGGGAGAAGTGGTGGAGAAGTATGGAGTGTCCCATGGTATCAAAGGCAGCAGTGTGGTTTATTTGGAAATGCTGTGAACAGGAGCTTGTAATTTAGAATCACCCTCAGGGTTTGAAAAGGCTGCTCGTGCTGTCAATGGCGTAGATAATAGGAATCTGGAAAGTTGTTGTTACAAGTTCAGATCTAATGCATTAGACGTGTAGGGATGTGAAGTCAGTGTTAGCTCTGCATGGATCATTCTCCCAAGACTCTGGTAATGACTGACACATTTAAGGGGACAGAAGGCTCTATTATATACCATGTAGGTTTACTATGCAATGTGTATAAACCCAAGTGTACAGAGGTAATTTGCAGGTGCCTATAATTGAGTTATTAGCCAATGAAAATAGATACACAATTAATAAATCCTCAATTGTTATGACTCAATATCCTTTAATAATGATACTTGCTTTTTAATGTAGCACCAATAAGGTTGAAACGTGTCAAAGAACGTCACAGGAAATTGCTGACCAACTGCTTCACATCCCCTGCCCCACAATCAGCAGTTTCAGCATATCTGTCCCCCATCTCTGGACTCCATCCCTTGACTCTTTGACTCACTTCTTCCCTTAACTCCTTCAAGGTCCTCCTCAAGACCTTCCTCTTCGGTCATGCTTTCAGCCATCCAGCACCTCCCACGATATATCCCACAATGTAAATTTGCACTGTATTGTTAGAAAATATAATCAATTAAGACTGAACTCAAGAATTTTTCAAAAGTCTGCACAATTCTAGTTTATGGTTCCAAGATAAACAACAACAAGATTAAATTTGTATAAACATCATGAGGAATTTGGGGCTGAGCCCTTCAATTTGATCAGACACTGAGTTCACTGTTCAGACACTGTCTGCTGCCTCCCATCCCGTTTGATCACTGCACAGACACTGCCTGCTAACACTCACCCCTGTGTGTATCTGCTTCACAGTGTGATCATGACGGGCTCCTACAACAACTTCTTTCGAATGTTTGACCGTAACACTAAGAGGGATGTGACACTGGAAGCCTCCCGGGAGAACAGCAAACCCCGAGCCATCCTGAAGCCTCGCAAAGTGTGCATGGGCGGGAAAAGGAAGAAAGACGAAATCAGTGTCGACAGTTTGGACTTCAGTAAGAAGATTCTGCACACAGCCTGGCATCCCTCAGAGAACATCATCGCAGTGGCAGCCACCAACAACCTTTATATATTCCAGGACAAAGTGAACTAGGACACTCAGTTGGCTGGTCACCTTAGCACTGCATACAACTAAATTATTATTATTTTTAACAAAAACACTTGCCCCTCTGGAATTAAAACTAAAAAGGTTGTTTGGTTGGGTTCTCTGTCTTAATGAAGATGTGATGCCTTTAGGTGTGTGGATTTCTTTGATCTTTAGCTTCCACGATGCATCCTAACCAAAATGGCTTCCCTCTCCGAGGCACCATCTTCATCCTATTCTTGCATTCTGGCTTCGAAAGGTGTAAATATTCCTGTTCTGTCTTTACATGTGACTTTTCTCTTATTTTTCTCCTTCCTTTTTTAGAAATGGAGAGAACCTCTGTGTTTAAAACAGTTTTGTTCTTCACATTTGTTAATGCCTTTAACATTTTGCTCCCCTTGAATAATAATATTCGCACCAATTGTCTCACTCCAGTGGATGACATATTAGAGTCTCTGTTTATATTTTTATTTTATTTTTTGATTTCATGAAACTTCCTTCCTGTTTTTGTAGACACCAGGGATTGAAAATGCATTTGTGCATTCGTCAGCAGAAAGATAATGAATGGTGTTTATTGAATCAGGGAATTTTCAAAGCAATTCCTCTAACAAAACTTCTCCTCACTTGTGAAATGATCCAAGCAGTTTTGTAGCTCAGTGTATTAACGAATTAATTACTTGCATTGTTGAACAAGCAAACTAGAAATATTTAAGTTGACTATAACTAATGCCAATTTAAAAATGTAATGTAGATTTTTAAAGCCTCGAGACTGTCGGGGCTTTTGTAGGTAGCTTTTTCAAGTTTTTTCATCTAATATTGGAGTAATTGAAGGTAATAATGGAATAATTCTTAGGCTTAATTATACCCTAATTCTGCCAGACTTCAAAATTGTCTCTTCTTTTTGGATAGAAAGTGACATTGTGGTATCTGGTGTGAATGATTTCTTTGATCTGTCTTGACACTTCCACAAGGTTCATTGAGTTTGGTCCTTGATAGTATTTTGAAGAGTTAAGTGTAAAGATGGGTGCTTTGCATTTCTGGTACAACAGAACCACTGCCCATGATATTAACTTAGACTTGCTGCCCACAGAGCAAGTTGTCCTGTCCATATTGACGTCAAGCTCAGCTGGAGGTGTTAAAGACACAGTATGATCTCTTACTGCTCTTAGTCTTGAAAACAGTCCATCATGAACCTTGATCTTTCACTTGCCCTAAAAATTCCTGTAAAATTCTTGCTATTAAATAGATTTCAGCCAATTAGAGAATTATGTCTTGATATTTTCATTAATTTTAAAAAGAAAAACTTTTTTTTAAAACAAAAAGCTGCTAATATTTTTAAGGTTTGAGGAAGATTACAGGTATGTTGCAACAAGCAAAGGAAAACTCCTACACGGCAATAGACTTAACATGAAGGAGATTTTTAGGAAAAAGATTCAAGAATTTCACCATTTAGTAAATTTGGTAAATTGTCAAAAGAAGTATGAAAGTTAATATTTAGGCTGGACATTTGCCTGACTCCAGTATGAACCTACATTTTATTCCCCGAAGAATTGAACCAACATGTCCAATTAATGTGCTCAGATAGCATTACTGCTAAAGATAAAATGAATACATCATTTTTGTAATCAATTAACAGCACAAACAAATATTAATGGCTTGAGCGATGGGGATTTGCATCTCTTTCAAATTAATTTGCTGTTCTACATTTTTCAATGTGTCCACGGAAAGTGGTCTTGCCAGTCATCCGAAGACGCTGTAAAAAGCTCCACATGGTACCAATGGCTTAATTCATCTGGTATGACGTGTGCGCCCATCCAAAAGGGTTCATTTACATAGAAAGCATTTTCAGTAACTGTCACAAATAAGCTTAACACTTTGTGGACTTGCAGCACCCAAAAAAATTCTGCTACGATCTTCAATCTGCGACTGATAATTTAATAAATATCCAAAAGGTTCTGTGTGTTTATCTTCAAATTGGTGTTTACGCGCACAGTTGAGTTCATCAGCCAGCATTGGACTGCAGTTAAAACCGAGCACTTTCTACAATACTGAGAGTAATGCCTCTCTGTTTAGTTAGCGAGCTCAGTGCTGGCTCAAGAAGATGTGTGGTGATTTCAGGTTGAAGCATTACTCAAAAATTTAGCATTTACTGGAAAAGAGGATGCATGATTTCAAAAATATCAGATCCCGTAATCTTTCAACCAGTTGTAATTGTAGCAATGAGAAAGACACTCCTATGGTGAGCTATTGGGTTCTGTTTGGAGCCCACACTGTCTTTGGCATGGCTTAAAGAAAGTAACTATTTGTATGCCTCCTTGTCCATTATTGTTTAAACGGGCAATGTAAAATAGCTGTATTTAAGTGCTATTTTAAAGGAGGATTTCACATTACTTCTCAATCCATAGAAGATGAATTATATTTGCCTTAGATAAATGTAAATATAGTTCAGAGTGGACCAGAGTAGAATGTATATTTTAATAAGGCTTTAGTGAATGATGCCCCCCAGTATTATAATGCAATTGGAGATCTCATGCTCAAATGACTCAATTCTCCTCTGGTACTTTGTTGGCTTTTCCTTCTGCTATTCCCAGGATAAAACATGCGTGATCATTCACTAATGCCTTGTTCGGAAAAACAAGCAACAACCGTGTACAACAGATGTGCATCTTATCAGATGAAAAAAAACTCTTTCAGTGCTCAAATGGTTAATGAATCGGCCTGTCAAATACTCCCTGATCTGATTAATTGTTGGTGGAGCAAATTACTTAACAAAAGTGTAACTATTATTTTAATTGAATTGTTCGAAATGACATGGAACATTGTGCAATGTTGATTTCTAAGACACGCAGCCCAGAGTGGTTGGTAGAGTGTAATACCAAATACAGTGAAGGTCAAGAGTTTGTTTTGAGCTTGTTTAGCAATCCCTGCATAATGACAGCCTCTTATTATATGGACACTGGATACTGCCAAAGGGCATTAAGTGTAACCTGAGTCTGGTCAGCCCAGAAATAAAAGGGTCAATGTTGCGGTATTTCTTCATGGTATTTCTTGATGAATTTCTTTAATAAGAAATCAAATATTAGTTGAAACAGTGTTCCTACAAGTCGGCCTCACTGACTTCAAAATTTCTTAATAAACCTGCTGAATACCGCAAAAATCAACCCCAAGGTCCCTGTCTAACCACTGTCTAATTATTGGGTTAGAAATCAGTGTTTGTTTTTAATGCCATAGTTGTTTTATAAATGTACGACAAAAGAGGTTGAAGGTAGGGAAATCTATGTCAGTATTTTTCTTTTCAAAAAAAGTGAAATTGGAGTAAATATTCCGTAATGTACCACAACATTTTTATTGCATGTATCTATCTGCCAGGCCTTGGGAAGGGAGAGCGGGAAGGGGTGAGTAAGTACCACCCAGAGCTGTAGGAAATCCTGTGGCTGTTTTATGTTGGGGGCTTGACTGACTAGTTCAAAGTGCTTTCTATAATGGGGAGGGGGAGGGGAGGACGGGCTGGTGCTTTGTTGTAACGGGTCGAACGATTTGACTGGTGTACCTTCGTCTCTGTTAATGTCTGCTTTTTTTTCTTAAAGAATAAACTGTTTGCAGTCGAGACTGCTTCATGAATTCTGAGAGTCCAGAATGTTCCTTTGTATACAGTCAGTGCGACAGGCAAAATAGTAAAAACCTTTACAGTTTGGCATAGCACCTGTCAGGTCAGTGCGTTTTGTGGGTGAACACGGCAGCCAATTAATGCACAGCCATGAAGTGAATGACAAATTTTATTTGGGGATTGTTGGCCACACATCAGGAGAAGCTCATTTCTCTTTTTGAATAGCACCATGGGATCTTTAACCTCCACCTGAACAGGTAGACGGGGCCTCGGTTCAATGTCTCATCTGAAGGACGGTACCTCAAACAATACAGCACACTCTCAGCACTGTATTGGAGTGTGAGCTTAAATAAACTACATGAGTTCCAAGTCCTGATATGGGTCTTGAACCCACAATAATTCTGATTCAGGAGTGAGAGTGCTACCAACTGAGTCACGCAGACACACAATCAATTAGATCAGCAAGTGCAGGGGACATATCAAAAAGCATATTGTCAATTGTGAATTTTATGAACATATTTATCTTTCAAATTGATATATGTTTTAAGTGACTTTGTCTTAGGAGAGGAATCAAATCTTTCCTTTCAAACATGTACTCTTACAAGAACTAAATAGTGAATTTTAGTTTACTGGTACATTTGTCCTAGAAGAAGGAAGTTTTAGGGCATCATTAATTCTGATTTGACACAATTAAAGATCCCTGTGGAGTTAACAAAGGTGACAAATCCCTTTGCAACAAGGATTAATTTGAGTGCCAGGATTTTGACATTTTCAGAATGTTGCAACGCACAACCAATTAAACCACTCCCTCCAATGAAGCAAAGTCAAAGCTGGTCAAAGCACTATTGTCACAGTCGGTTTTCTATTCCAGCATATTTGTCAGGCAGAGTAGCGGCTGCTCAAGGAGGTAAGGTCTAAAAGCCCTCGTTACATTCACACCAAGACAACATTCACAAGACGTGGCTAAATTTGTTGAGGAAACTGGTTACAAGAAGCATTTATCAAAAAATTTCTCCACATGCACTTTTGAGCATTAATCCGTACATATTCACAGCCAACTAAGTACTGCGTCTCGATTGGTACAGGTGCCAATTGCTCAAATCAAAGCGCATATGAGCTAATGTCAAGGTAGTGAGAGGCTCAGAGATGCATCCCAGAAAACTATTCCAAGTTGCAAACACTTGTCTTTGGAGTGCTACCAATTAGCACGAAGGCTGTGAGAGCCTATATTCCACTTTAAACAGAAAGCATTTGTTTTATGCGCATTAGTAATAGCAGAAGTAACAGTTTCTTATGTGTGAATTGTGACTCATGGAGAATCTCAGGTAAGTGTAACATAAAGGTGGAATAATGCACTGCAATTATTGGATGCATCTTTCATTCAAAGCAATTTAAGTTGTATTCTGTTCAAAAATACCCATCCCTCAGCTAGTTGACAGGTCATTCCACAAGTGCTATTACTGATAAGTTAAAGCATATCAATATATAATTCCTATTAACTGCAATGCTTACTTTTCTTACAAACTTACTGGGGTGGAGTTGGGGGAGTCGTATGAACTCTTAATATGTAATTTGGAATATCAAAAAAAGTAATATAACTTCCATACAAAAATGGAGGAGAAAATAAATCGAAATATTACAGAGACTATTCTCAAATTGGAGCAATTCTGTACTGCTCGGTTTGGAACAACACTGTAGGCGACACACCTCCAGTATCCTTGTGATGGACATTGTTGAGTGCGGGAAAGCTGAGGGAGGAGAAAGATCATACATTGTGTCTGCATTTGATACTATTTCAATTGCAATTGAGAAAGTAAATATTCTTTGAATTATTGTAACCCTTCCCTGCCCCCCACCTCCTTCCTCATCTACCCACTATAAAACCATCTGTTAAAATAAATGCTTTAAAGGTCTAGTGCACTTTTATTTTGGGTTTGAGTTTTTATTAAGAAAATCTTGGGATATATTTATTATTTTTCGCATGGTTTTCCGTTGGTTGTGCATTCAGAAGGATCTCTTGAAGAATGTCATTTAATTGCTCATTCCAGCCTGGCTGAATTTTATATACATCTGCTGGCTTCAAACTTTCAGCGCCTTGGGACGTTCTCCCGACGTGAAAGGTGCTCTATAAATGGAATCTTGTTGTTGTTCAAAGATTCCTCAGTTTCCCAACCAACTGGCACCTTCATCACAGATCTTACCAAAAAAAAGACATTGTTGAACCTCAAACTTAGTTCACACTGTCATAACAAAGCAAAGCCTGTTCTACACTGGAGTCAATATGTCAAACAGCAGTGACGTCAATTATTTTTTGTGGCCACGACAGACTTCATCAATGTATACCTGCTGTTGGAAACACAATAGACAGCAAGTGATGGTTTATTTAGAGCGCTTTTTTTTATAGTGATTTGGTGTAACTCTACTTCTTTAGATCTGATGCACATTTTCTGCCTGACATTCAGCTATCAAAAAGCTCAGCCTCAAATGTGGACGCAAGTTCCAAAAATAGATATAGGTCACCATTGAGCCTGTTGTGCTATTTCTTATAATCTTACAAGAATCCTGTATTTACACTTCCCAAACTATTCTCCTTACACCTTAATACCTTAATAATAAAGTATTAAGGCATTCTTTAATGATTTGCTTGATTATTCTTTTCCCGGACATTTGTGGGAAATTTATGCATAAATTGGATGCTGCATTTGCCTCCAGATACTCAGTCACTATATTTTATAATAAATCTCATGAAACGCCTCCTGACGCTATATCAATTATACCATTATCTGTCAAGAAAAAAAACAATAAGCAATCCACAACTGTTTGTGGGACACTGCTGTTCGTAATTGGCTGCCGCGTTTTGCCCACAAATACACAGTCAATTCACATTACAGTATATTCTGCGAAAAGCTTTGAGACGTCTAGAAGACGTGAAAAGCGCAAGGATTATTCAAATGCAAGGATTATTTTTGATAAGTAGCTATAACCCTTTTAAATAGAGGGAACAGTTATGAGTTAATGATTTTGCACGAAGTAGTGAAAATGTCAAATAAATACAAGCTAGGCAGTTATGTCAGAAACTAGTTTCAGAAAATTAAAGAGGAAATTGGATAATTATCTGCTGAGGAATTCATTTCAGGGTTTACAAAATAATAATAACCCTTGCCTTTGGTATAGCTTCTTATCAGGTTGGAAGAATGTCTCAAAGCGCTTCACAGGATTTACTATGAAATAGAGTGACTGTATTTTTGTATAAATGTGGCAGCACAATTACACACAGCAATGTCCCACAAAATTAAAACAAATGACCAATTTTATTTGGAAGATTGTTGGCCAGAACCCTGGAAGAAATTCCCTTCTCTATTCGAAGAGTGCCATGGGATCTTTAACGTCCACCTGAACAGACACATAGGACGTCAGTTTTAACATCTCATCTGAAGGAACGCACGTCTGACAATGCAACAAACCCCATTGGAGTGTCATCTTAGATGATGTGAGTTCAAGTTCCAACGTGGGATTTGAATCCACAGCCTTCGAACTCAGAAGCAATAGTGCTACCACTGAGCCAAGTATAGGATTTCATAACATGATAGAGCAGTATAGGATTTCATAAAACATTTCCCTCCCGAGAAATAACTTCAAAAATATCCGCAATTCTGATCTTCCCAGTGCCTGATTAGTCTTGGCAAAATAAATGGCTTAATTAGTAATTTGGGATCTTTATGTAAGTATATTGATTAATACACCAAGTCCATATATTTGTCTGTGTGCATTCAACAGAAAGAGATGAAAATAAGGAAACAAATATTTTTTTTTAACCAGGGTCAAATAATATTGAGCATTTTCAGAGTAAGTACAGTCTATGTTATTTGCAAAGCAGACTTCATCGTTCGTTGTCTTAACTCCAACCTCCCACGAGTAACTTTTACTGCACATTTTGCTCCGTCTCACACTTGCCATCCTGATGATCTCTTAGGGCAAGATTGCTCAGCAGTGCTGAAATGAGGATGATGAACTCAACTGAGACCATATCAACTTCATTTCAGATCCTTTAACATACATCACAAGTGGGAATAACTTGCATTTCCAAAGCTTTCAGCCCATATCCTCTTCAACATGTTAGGTGTGTGCCAAGATCCTAGAGAAGTGCTTGTACTATGCTAATTGAACCCTTATATTCAAAGCAAAAATCGATACTTAGTGAAACCTTAAATAGTCATGGACCCAATATTGATGAGTATAATGTCATTGGGATGTGTATACAGTATACAAGAAATATAACCGCTAGCCTCTCTCTTGGTTTGTTTCTGTGTCATGATTGTTCATGGATTGAGTGACCAAATTATTATTTTTTATATATATTTTTGAAGGGATTATTATCCCTGGAATACCAGGTTTCTACTTACTGCTAGGTAAACAGGCGTGTGGAGTAAGGAAACTTACCCAATGTTTCTCCCTGCCCTGGAACCAAACCCAGGCCCTCTCGCTTGCGAGGCGAATGCTCTATCCACTAAGCTACAGGACTCTACTATGTTACGTATTATATGTTACATATAAAAATAATACAAATATTTGATATAGAGGATGTCTCACAACACTCCCAAGGATATATAATGTATAGTGGGCTGTGTATTTTGTAGGCGAATGTGGCACCAATTTGTCCAAAACAATGTCACACAAACAGCCTTGAAGTGAACGACCATTTTTATTTGAGGGATTGTTGGCTAGTACCCAGGGAGAATTAAATGCGACTTTATTCTATAGCAAAATAAGTAAAACAAGTTGTTTGTTAAGACCAATTACAGGTATATTTCTTTATTTAGCCCCTCTAATGGAGGTTTTAGTTTTATCTGTTCAAACTAGCTTTATATGTGAAAAGTTGGCATTCCCATTCTTGCAGTGGGTGTTGAATTTGAGGCTACAGAGAAATGGAGTTTAATGATGAAATATCCATTTAAAACACTGAATTGACTGGATATTCATAAAGTAACAGGACCAGATGGAACCTCTCCAAAAG